ATCACAAATAATAAATCAGATGAGTTATTCCGCGGTTACCTCAGTTTGATGATGTGCTAAAGGTACCTAAGGCAGGTACCTTACCAACCATTACTCTTTTAGTCCAAGCAAGCCCAAGGTCACAATCAGTATGGGATCTTGGGCGTCGATGCCAATGTCCATGTGGCCGTTCTGGCGGTGGATTCCCCCACATTGAAGAAATTTTTCATGATCGTCTCTCTTGTTTTCGCTATGGTAATTGACTCATTGACTTGGACGTCTTTGAACGTTTCCGAAATCCAGGGAAGGAAGTAGATTGAACGAACTAAAAGAAGGGACTGGTCGGATAGATGCATCCAAATTTTCAGTAGGCATAATTTCAGTCATCAACAAGACAGAACGAAAACCAATATGGATCAGTCACCACCCGATGCCGACAGAAAATTAATGGTACATTACCGATAATAACAATAATAATACCTAACTACAGTACCATAACGTCCTTCTCTGGTTCAAGTGGTCCTCTGCCGTTGGTGTAACCACTAACCAGCCAAGTCGATCCTCCGGGTCGACGAACAAATAAGGCGGTTTGTTTGTCTCGGCCCCCCAACTACCATTAGATAGATGCTTTGTAGGTGTACCTAGACTCCTACCCTAGCAGTAGTAGTAGATAGTGGTTTACAGCCTGGACTCCCCAAGAATACAGTCCTTGAATCTCCTTTTCCTTTCTTCTCTTCTTCTATCAAACCATCACGCATAACACCTATTATCGATAGACATTTCTTTTCCCCTTTTTCTGGTCCTGTTGTTTATCTGATTTGACTCTATCAACTCTACCTTGATTTGAACTTCCTACTTCCTTGCAACTCCCATGTGGCGTCGCCTCCATTCGGCGGATCACCTGCTCGACCATTCAATTTGCCTCCTGACAGACGTGACGACAGCGCTGATATAGCTCTCCAAGTTCCTCGTACATCATCTTGAGGAAGGTTTCCTCTCCTCGGCGGATGGACTTGAAATTCATTTGCTTCCTTTGAGACAGCACCTGAACTCCTTACGCCGGACTATCCTTTTTTCCTCATCCTTTTCCTTCCGACCTTCGTGGATGTCTCAATTTTTTACCTCGTGACAAACGGCCACTCTCGAAAAGCTAAATACCAGTCGACCATCGATGCAGACTTGTTTACCTGCCAGTTGACGTCGTCTCTCTATACTCGTCCCTACGATATCTCCTTCGCCCGTTGATCGCGTGTCTCCCCCGTGGCATGATTCCAAATGAGTTCACTTATTTGCGACATTCCTGTATCCCACACAATATCCGCCAACCTTTGAACTGCCAACAGGGGAACAAAGGACTTAGCTGATCTGGCACCATGGCGATATGGCCTTTTGGTCGCAGAAACAAGCGGCATACGATCCAGCTAGGTGCGTCGGAGGCCGCAAATTTGAAAGCGTCGTACGAAAATGGCCCCAGCTTCGTCGACTCCTCGGTGGGCAGAAAGCCGTCCCGTAAACAGTCCAAGCGTCAAAAAAACCGCCATTCACAGCCTATCGAAGATACCTCGAGTTCCTTCAGAGATGACTCCATTCAAGCACCGTTACACCCATCATCGTTAGACCGTCCCGTCAAGATGCTGCCAAAGTTACACTCCCAAATAAACCGAGCTTCAGAGTCGTATATCTCTCATCCTGCTGCAGACCACAACCAGCAATCTTCGATCTCTCGGAACGGCTCGCTATTGAAGTCCAAGCAGAACGATAAAAGCCCCGCGGTCCTGAAGAAGAAACTGAGCAAGCGAAAGGCATACGAAATTGCACGGGAGCAGGAGATCCGGCTAATGGCCTCAACCCCCATTGACATACCTTGGCGTCCCGGTACACTGCCAGGTGAGAGAATCTCTGTCGAGACACGACGAGCTCCTAGAGCTCATAGCCGGCGGTCCGACCGCCATCTCTCTGACCTTAGTTTACCTGTACGCGATTCCGCTGCCTCGTCTGTATCCGATTTCTCTGAATCGTATGCATTCAAGGTCAACAGTCTGGCTGCTTGGACCCCTCGTCCCATCATTCGATATGTGGAAGCGCCGCGCAGCTCGGCTGCCAAAAGTCAGAAATCAGCCGAGGCACCAAGCCGCAAGGAGAACGCCCTCAATTTGTCCATTTCGGAAGAGGAATTGTACTCGAAGCAGCGCGTGGACGCATTGGCTGATAGTCTTGATGCAAGTGCATTGCGGGAGCTGCTTGAGAGAGATCGTCGCCGAAAGGAGAAGCAAAGGATTGAAGAACAGGAGAGGCTACGTCGCAGATTGCAACGTCGCGCAGAACGCCAGCGGAGGGAAGAGGAGCAGGAAGATGAGTCTCAACGCCAGCACGCTGACGACCAAGGATCGTCCGCTATCAACCGAGGCCGGACCACTGTCGAGAAGAATGCTGAATCTACGCCTGCAGCTAGTGGGACTATGTGCAAGAATGATGAGACAAAAACTTTTCTTTCTGGCGACACCGCTGGCTCTTGGTTGCGGGATGCTTCCAAGGAGCGAAGTCGTCATGCATCTTTTGAAAGTGTCCACGTCGTTGGCAACCTCGATGACAGCTCTGTTACGAAGTTCAAGTTAGCTGAGCGTCCGAGTTTTACCCCCTCGCACGACATGGGAATGTCGCACACCACCCTGTCGCCGTCTCCATCCAGGCATGGACTGAGCAGTCCCACTTCCTCTCAGGTATATGGCATAGCTCGAGAATCCACATCGGATGTTTCAAGAACGGTTGAATCCGAAAGACGTCTGTCCGACCATAGCAGCACACGGGGTGGTGCTTTGGCTTCATTGTTTCGACGCGGCAGCTCTCGACTCAAGCGGAGATATCGCGAGCGTTTCCATGACCAGTCTTCAGAATTTTCCAATACGTCTCATGAATCTTTTTTCAAAGTGTCAACTCAGTCATCCGGGCCCCCGCCGTACGCTCCTCCAAAACCGTTCCTTCGACCTGGCGTCATCAAACGCTCTCAGTCCAAATTCACTGAACACTTTGGCGATGAGCCTCTGTCTCCCCCAGATTCGCGCCTTCAATCCCCTGAAATTCCGGAGGAGCCCTCCGATCGATTTGGGAAAGAGAATGACACGCTTAATCTGCATGTGGAATCTCACTATCCAATTCCTGGCTCGGAATCTGACCTCCAGGATGCGAGCAAGGTCCCCCATCGCTCGTGGGGTGGTGAAAGTTTAGAGGAGAGTGCAGACAATGTGCCATTATCACAGTCACTAGCGTCAATTGATTCAGAAGGATCGTGGATGTCAGGGCAATTTCTGCGCCGCATTTCCCAGAGGAAGAGCAATCTGATCCAGCCCAGTACCACTTTGTCACATAACCACACCGAAGAAGGGCACGAGGACTCGGTCAAGGGCGACGCAATGCCTCAAAAAGAGCACTTTGTTCGATTCGAGGGCGACTACGATGACACTGAAGGACCAAGCAACAGTGTCCTTGGCGACCAAGAGAAGGATTCCAACGTCCGCACGTCGTCGCAAGATGAAACCTGGCATTCACAGATTGCCAAGAGGCCGGTTGTCGTGAATCCAACAATTCGGCCCAAGTCAACCGAAGGCCTTCTGCTGAGGTCGATCCAGTCACTGTCCCCCATATCTGCGGACGAGGAGGTCAGTCCTATCGAAGAACATCCATCCGAACATGAATATATGCACGATGAGGGTTATGGACAGGCATACTGAGTCATGTCCAGACCCGGGCCTTGAGAGTTTCGCAATGTGACAACGAAGCAGCGTCAACCGACAAGCGCGCAGAAAGGCCAAGCAATTACCCGGTATACCACATTTCTTCTGGATCTATCTTCTATATTGACTGTTTAATACGTTGTTCTTGAGTACATACTCTTGCCGCTCCTTACCTTTCCTTTGTCTTTCTTTTGTATAGATATTTCCCCCTCGCCAAGTAGTCTTTTGCCAAGAGTTGAGGTGGCCATGGCAGCGTTTACAGGCTTAGTGGAGGTTTGAGTTAGATACTTCGTTTGTTGATACCCCCAAGGAGTGCGAGTTAGTTGGATGCGCCTCGATTGCAAATGAACAATGTCCGTGTGAGTTTTTGGATTTGTGATTCTAAATAGACTCGAAGATACAGATGTCAATTATACCCAGGATATTCCCCATCACACATACCGCTGTACGGTCTGATGTCTAATTGTCCGCCATCACCTAATTGTACAATACGCCAGAGACTAGGGGATCTTCTGTCAGCTATATCTCGCGCAGTACTGTGTTTGCTAATCGCCGAGCGGGATTCTTGATGCCTGAGGCTGCCGTCCGATCCAGACCATTTCCAATTCATAAGCAGCGGAATCACGTCATCTGGGGGCGCCGCTTTAAGCCTCGTTTAGGTACGACCTGGAAGCCCAGAACGCGTTTTCTCACCTCATCCGCCCAACATCCTTACCTGAAGTTACATCGCATCACCAGCCTCCGATAGATTATTGTTGACTATACTGCAAAGAAGCCTATCTTCAATTGATCTCGTACTCTGACAAATCTATTCTCGAATATCCCTTATCTTGAGAGATTTGGGTAGTTCACAAGTAGGTGATTCTGAGCCACCACCACCACCTCGCTCCTTCCATAGCCCCCGAGACAATTCCGCCGCATTAGTGACCGAGGCTATTATTGATTATTCAGCCTCAGTGTCGCTCACGTCATTGGGAGGCTGCTCGTCATCCCACCACTACAAAATCCCTATTTGTGCCCCTCTTTGAGCCCCTCATCTCGAAGCTAACCATAATCTGACTATCCATAGTGTTTAAATCATTCACCGTGACCTCTCTTCGTCTTCCTCCTACAGTCTCCTCTGTCAGGGCCATATCTACATCACTCAGATCAGCAAGCAAAGTCGCCGTCGCTTCGACATTTTTGCATCAGTCGTCCCTCACGCGTATCCCCGCCCCTAACCCCTGCTCCTCGATCAGCCAACGAGCTTTTTCTTCAACTCCAATCTCCCGATTTTCACCTACATCCACAATGTCTCACAACGTCGAGAAGATTACTGAGTACGTTCTCTCGCTGTTCTGACATACCTGTTTTGGATGATTCTGCTTGATATCAGACTACTGACACCAACTTCAGCGCCAAGGTCTTCAAGGAGAAGGTCCAAGAGGCCTCGGGTCCAGTCATTGTCGACTGCTCCGCGACCTGGTGTGGTCCTTGCAAGGCCATCTCTCCCGTCTTCCAGCGCTTCAGCACCCAGGAGGAGTTCAAGAACGCCAAGTTTTACGAGATCGACGTTGACGACCTCTCTGAAGTTGCTGCTGAGCTCGGTGTCCGTGCTATGCCCACTTTCATGTTCTTCAAGGACGGCGAGAAGGTTAACGAAGTTGTTGGTGCCAACCCTCCGGCCCTTGAGGCTGCTATCAAAGCGCACGTTGCTTAGGCCCATTGTTTGACAAGGTCTTGGTTGTAAATACATTAATCATGAAGGGAATTTGATAGAATTTTCTTGATCTGTACGGACTCGCCATCTGAAGAAGACGATGAAAGTCGAGCAGAATGATTCATAACTCCATGCTTAAGCTATCATCCTGGGGCTGTTCTTCTGCTGCTCCTTGATATTCTAAGCTGATAACCTTGCTTGTTGAAGCTGGCTTGGCAGAGTCACCTACATGTGATCAATCTGAGCCCTTCTCAGAGCTGCTGTGGTTGTTCAAGGAGGACTGAAACTACATCAAAACCTTTTAATATAATTAGATGAGGTGTAGCTTAGCCTTCATAAGAACAATCACCTAGAATTATGTAAAGCCCCAACTGGTAAACACACCAATGATAGTTTGTAGAGGTATGACTGATGAAATTTCTGCGCCGGAAGCTATAGATAATGAACTTATCTCAGAAGGGCTGTCACTCTTCACCGGAATAGATGTTAACTGCTTGTGCAGTGCCTCAGTTGATTAAGTAGTTAAGGTCATCCTTGCGAGTTTAAACCAGAACCCAGTGGTAATAAAAGGTGATGTATTGAGATATCAGTGCTTGATAGTGGTGAGCATACCTCACACACTGCTATTCCACATTATAAGAGGGAGCTACTTCAAGTGTTATAGCATTCCATTTGAGCTCGATATGGAGATCAGCAACCAAGCAAGAGTAAGCTAATTGCAATGATATGGGAAGTAGGTTTAGTACGAATATAGACATGATACCATGCCTCTTCCCATCGGCAATGGAACAACAGTGTGTACATAAATTCCATATAGCCATCTGTGTTGCCGGAACTTTGACGGCATCATTACAGTCGAGCCTCTAGCAGGACGTTGTTATCACCACACACGCGAGTCCTTCTGGAACAAGGTACTGAGGTCTACAATCAACTCAGCTACCAAGCTCCACTGCAGAGGGTTCTGTCACCGTTGTATCCGGCCTCACCATGTTGATGGGGATATGCTGTCTGTTTTGGAGTATACATATAGCTCAACGAAACTCCGCGTTCCCGACTGTCTGCAAGGGAGCTTGACTTGACACTCCGATTGCAGCTATTATTTTATCCGATTTGAATCATCCCAGGTAAGCTGAGACAGTCTACTCTTTGCTCAACGCCGACTGGAAGACTCTGAATCTGCGCGCATCAACTCCGAGACAACGATGCAGAAATACCTGCTCACAATGCTACGAGCAACAATGCTACGAGCACCCGCAGAGTCTTTATAGTCTATGGATGAGCGGTGCTTATTCAGAGCGTGAGTGTTCATGTCTTCCTATCGAATCTGCCTTGTGGAGATTTCCACAACTGCAGCTAATGTGAAGTGCATTTCTGATATGCATTCAAAATGACCTGGTGGCTGTCCAAAGCCCTTGGGTTCTAGAGCTTAAGTGTATTCCTCATCTGCAAGAAGTATAGTTTATGCTGTGATATCAGTGTCACGGCCAAGGCGTGGTCATCAGACATCGTATGTAGACAAAAAGCGGGCTCCTATAGACTCCACAATGACATCTTGCTAAGCTTCATATTGTGATATGGTATACTTCGCTCAGTCGGCGTATATACAACAAACGAATGTGTAATGGGGCAGGAAACCTTAACCCAAGATTGCACGGCCAGCAATCATGAGGAATCGGAGATCGGTGATACCTCGGGCTGGAGATGGTGTATAAGTAAGATTGCAATAGTGGAGCAAGAGATTAGATGCATGAGCAGGAGATGTTCAGTTGCAGGAGTCTCACGCTTCAGCTGGGTCGGAGTATACTGTGGAACAGACAGGTCAAGTATGTCATCTCGACGGCCACGTTCAAGATTGATGATACTCTTGGTTAAAACCGATGAAGGCGAAATCTGTGAAAGTTGGGTCTGTGAGACATTGTAAAGATTTGGTTTCTAGCAATCTCGATTTGCGAGATCGGGTGGAGATAATACGTATCTGGCCCACCTGGAAGTGGAAACCCTAACCTAGAAAAAAGAGAAAAAGAAAAGAAAAAGACAAGATCAGGAATTTGAATATAGTTGGATGATTGCTTTCAACCTTGTGACGGCTATTGTAGTGGCCTGTCTTAGTACCTCAAGAACTAAATGACCAGGCAGATGACTGGAAATGGATTCAGACGAGCAAATCGAACTTCCTAGGATGGCCCTCGGCCTTAGGTGTCAAGGAGCCAAATCTCTATTGATAATAGACTGATATGAGCTAGACCGCTTATGGGCTAGCGTAAGTTGGGATCTCTCTCTCGCTCGTGCATCTTCCAGTTCGTGTAAGATTTGGATACAGTCAACAGATGACACTGGACACTCCTTGATTCCAATCAGGCACTAATGCTCAATCCGTGTTATGCGATCAGCTTTGGCTCGCCCACACCATTCAAGATTGGCTTTCTTTTCATCCAGTCACGGCTGCGCATGACAGTGCTGACTAGTCTGCCAAGAACTTGCTTGGAATCTTTCGCTGGTGGCCCAACACCGAAGTTTTCCGACAGCGTGTTTCGATTCTAGTTCTTTGGCTTTGCACTAGCCATTCGGCTTCTAGTTCTAAAAGGTCAAAGACTTGTTTGTGTACTCCTGTATCCGCCAAAGTTCAGAACATGAGATGTCCTCGCTACTCGCTAGACTGACTAGTTGCTACAACTGTCTGATAATGAAGCAAACTAGCAACTCGCTAAATTTGCTCGTACAGATTTGACCTAGCATATCGTCCTTCGAGTCATTCGGTCTCCACTACGTCTGTCATTATTTGATAAGTTCCTCGGAAGGTCCCATGGCATCCTTCAGCCATGGAATAGAAGTTTTCCATGGGTGGAACGCAAGAGCATCAACCGATCTGGCTCGTGATAAGTCTCAAGAAGTCAACAAACAAAAGCGGTATCCAGCCAGGCATACTTCATTTCGAACAAAGGTCTTAAATGACACGCAGAGTTCCTCTGTGCACACAGTCAAAAATTTCAAGACAACGATTCAAGGGCCTGAAACCTAGTCATGGCGCAGCTGAAATTTGATTGTAGCGGGTCTGCAAGGGAGTCTCGAAGTCTGAAATTTTGGCCAAAAGCTCCGACCCGAGGCAGTCTTCTGAGACCTTGGCCTTCTGGGCCCTGGTCTTCTGCTGGCAACAATTGATTGTTTAATATGAACTTGGCCAATAGAATGAACCCAGGTACCTGTTTCCTGGTCGTTGGCCAGGCCTGGAGTCAGCACTAACTCACTAACTCACTAAGTACCGAAGTCTGTTCCCCATCGTTCCCTCGTTAGCCAACTACGATCCGATCTGTTGATCCAGTTTTCGGAACTTTCCTGGTCCTCGAGAATCACCAGCTGACGAGCTACATTTTAATTCGATCCATTATCGACATCTACGGAGTACCTAACAATGAGTAGTCCCCGTTGGTCCCCTCGTGCTACTGATCCAGCCGTATGGACCGGTGCTGTCTTGGAGGTTGACAACTTCCAATGACCTTTTAGCAAATAGATTGGGCTTCCTCTTTTTCATAAGAACGCCCCTTGTCATGAGAAAGCCCCATATAGATACTTGGCCCATGTTCCCAGTTTTCTCAAGCTGCAACACTCGCAGTTTGGAACCGGCACATTTGAAGCATGGTGGTCTCACATGTCATATAGTTGACTCCAGTTACTCTAAGATCCCCCGTCTAAGTGGTCTGATTGTCACTGTCACCTTGTTCAATCTTTGCCCACTCCCTCAGTCGTTCCTTGTTCTTCCTTCTAGCCGTTCCTTGAGCATCTGTACGGACTGAGATGCGCTGAGAACTCCCACATCATTTCATGAGGTCGCCGTCGTGCTAAGTCAATCCTTAATCTTGCCGACCTTGACAATGTCGGCTTCAGATGATCACCCCGACGGGTTGCCCGTTGCCGTATCTTATCTGGCAGGCTATATCTTTCTCTCCTACGTCGTCAGCACGATGGGGTGTGCGACTACCCTCGAACTTCTTCACCGACGGACATCGAAGTCCGGCTTATATAACTGGTATGACCACTGTTCGAAGTACAGTTTCATTCAATTGCCTAACATTATAGGTACCTTCTGTTCACATCCTCAGTAACCATGGGCGGCATTGGTATCTGGTGCATGCATTTCATTGGCAATAGAGCAATTGTCCTCGGTGATGGAGCAGCCCAAATCCAGATTGTGTATAGCGTGACTTTCACAGGAGTTTCATTCATCCTTCCCGTGGTCGTCCTACTTGCAGCTTTCTACGCGATAGGAACCAGTGAAAAGGCTGGCTATCTTCGTATCATTATGGGAGGTGTCCTAACGGGCAGCTCCGTGTGCGGAATGCACTACATCGGTCAGCTTGGCATCTCCAATTACCGATGCAGCTACAAGGTCGCACATATAGTCGGAGCCGCAATCATTGCCGTCTTTGCCAGTACTGTTGGCCTGGTAATCTTCTTTCGGTGGAGGGCTACATGGACGAACAGTTGGTGGAGACGTGGAATCTGTGGCTGTCTACTTGCCATCGCTGTCTCTGGTATGCACTGGACTGCTGCAGTTGGTACATCTTACAAAGGACATGATCAATCCGTCAAGCAAGGCGGCCAACTTTCACGAAGCCAAACTGTCATTATATGTGCGGTCCTGGTACGTTGTCTCCATTCATCATCGGCGACAAGCAAACTAACGAGGTAATGCGATAAGGCATGTGTTTCCTGCTCAGTTCTATCGGCATGTGCCATCGCGGCCGGCGGAGACCGCAGACGATCGAGAACGAAGGCGCGCCAAGTGGTCTTGAGTTGTGCGTTCTTCGACCCAGCCGGTAGAGTCATGGTGACTCCGCATGCGAGTCTTCCGAGTAGGAAAATCGTGGATCGTTATCGCGGAAAGGTACGTTGTGAGCGGATTAGGACACCAAACACATTATTCGACTGAACCGTCAGACCGTACTAATCTCCTTGCTACTTGGTAGACTTTCAACGACGACGATCTTACAAGAACACATTCGGCGTTCCTCTGGGCATTCCGCGCAAGTCGAAACTGGAAACTCGTGAGGGATGTCGTTCCCTTTATGAGAAGTCGAATCGAGTCCGAGAAAGCTGCGAAAGAGCATTTCACCCCGCAAGGTGGAGCGACCGACGAGGACACAGAGATGCAAGGCGATTTTGACGGGTTCTTCAAACAACACTTCTGTGTAACCGCTCAGGATCTGGCTGAGGAACTGCGACAGCCTCTTCAGGACATGGGCGTGCTGTATGACGACATCCTGACCACTACGACACCAGTCTCGCGCTTTTCTCGAGCAATGGGGTACTCTCGGCTCAGTGCCAATAAGGGTCAGATGATGTTCACTGTCCGGCAATTGAGTAAGCACGAAGCTGCCCGCCTAGCAGCATCAGGGCTTCGATTTACAGCAATTGAGAACGTTATTCCCGTGCTATCTCGCCGTGTCCATATACCGTCCATGACTTTGGCCGCTCATCTCAGGGATATGCGAGACTATGCCACCTCCGGTCGGAATTTTGAGCCAGGAGTTCATTTGGTTTCTTTTGTCATGCGCCCCACCGTTCATGACTACTTCGAAGTACTCACTGCCAAAGGCGTCAGCAACCCGTTACCGTCATCATCACTGCCAATGAAACGTCTCCAAATTGCTCATCTGGAATTATTGTCACACATGGAAGGGTGGACCGTGTCAACGTGCCTGAACTGGCTGAAGTCGGAGACAGCGCGCGCATACAAGGACGCCGACGCATTTCGCCAACAGCTGATCCAAGCGATGGGGAACCTTTCGTCCGCCATGCCACCTGATATCAACTCAGCATCTAGATTCTCGGCACGCCCTCTTATTGCCCCGTGTCGCTCTTCAAGACATTCAGACGGAAACAATTGTATCATTCTTCCATTCTGCGTTGTCGGCACGCTGGACACCCAAATCTCCAACCCGGACTTTACCTTCACGCCTCTGCGTCTCTTCAGAGTGCAGCAGCAACTGAACGATGGCTTCACAGGAGGCGATGGTTTCGCAAAAGAGCTGAGTCAAGAGCTCTATTATTCCAACGCCCGCTCCAGTTCAACCACCGATTCCGAAATCGCATCCTCTGTTCGTGCTCTTCGTCGCTTCTGGCCGTCCCGCAAACAGCCCAGCGATAAAATGAGCGCAACGTCCCAGGAGACCCTTGCGGAGCATTCACCGTTCGGAGAAATCACTGTCCGTAAGGAAGTGAAAGTGGACATCGCGAAACTCGCAGAATTGTCAACCCAGCCCACACTGGGTCGGCATGCCTCACAGACTACCGTATTGGCTGGCGACTCGGCCTCGGGCACATATGTGGACGATCTCTACAATCTTTGCTACTCCCCTAACATACGGCTGAGGCCAGATACATTCCAACAACACTCGACAGTTGGCTGAGATACAGGGTCAGTCAGCCGCAAGCGACTCTGAACTCTCAATCCTTCGAATGAGCACAGGCATACTGGCTCGTCACTCACGTCGAGAACAATCCTGCCCTTGATCTGTCGCGCAAACCGGCACCGACGCCATCACTAGCGCATCACCACGCCCTCACCCAACGCGGAATCGCATAGTTTACGCTCCTCGCTACGGTCCCATCCACTACAAGTGCATGACCCACGAATCTCGAGCATGGCTCAGATGACGAACATCTCGAGGGTACACCTCAGCAGTCATGAGGCGGCATTCTATTCGTATGCTCATATATATCGAGCCATAAGCAGATACAGAGATATCTCGTGTGCAATCTCGTCAGATTGGTTGATGACGAGGCCCTTCACTTTTCCTTCGTTCTGTACATAGTGATACCTTAGAAGGCAACTGGTACAAGCTGCATGTATAATATGGATCATGTTTCATTCTCAATGAAATAAAATTCTCATATGTGAGAAGAATACTTAGCGGTTATGTGCGGCTTTGGTATGCCAAAAAGGCATGTTATCAGCCTGGTTAGACACATCAAAATCTCTACAAGCCGAATCGACGGCAATTTCATTACAAGAGAAGCAAATAGAACATAGAGCCATCGAAGGAGGAGTGCACCAGGCACCCTCAAATGCTTGATTCTAATATGTTGATGAACCGACAAGATTCGCTCAAGCCAAGCCAGTTTATTAAGTCAACATCCAATGCAAAGAAAAGCAGAAGAAATGGAGAAACGCCTTGCCATGGGGTATCGTGTACTGATGCAGTAAAACCCGTAGCCAAACTGAAAGCCACCAGAGTGGACAACGATGATAACCAGATCATCGAAAAATGCCCCTCAAATAACGAGAATAACCGCCCAGCGCTAAGTAGCAAGCGTGAACCTTACGCTCAAAGCAACCTGAAATGATCCAACTGGCTCCCAATGCAATGAGTAAAAGGCGATAGAAAGCCAGTAATATGGAATGTCGTAACTTCGTGTGTGGGTGTCGGGGCGATGTGCCCTCCCAGTACCGTGTTCTTGGAGAATCACGGGTTTCATATCTTTCATATCGTAGTAGAGGCCATGCGCCGCCTGGTACGGGGCCATGACGCTTGTTTATTAGTGGACGCAGTGCAGATAAAGGACATCCTGTACGACAAGCGCCACTTATTGCAGACTGTCATGTCAAACAGCCGAAAGAGGTAATTGTCCACCTTATTGAAACAGATGAAGTACTCAATTTGGTGGAAAGAGACAGCTCAGACGGCACTTCATGACTGCATGAGCTGCTTTGTTTCTTAGGTGCTAATGCGATTGCGGAGTCTCCGCCTCCGAAGGGTAGGACGCGGATCCTCATCCACGGTCTCATCAGCGGAGCGCTTCATGCTGGCAGGTGAAGGAGACAAAGCTCGCGAGGAGGACCGACTGCGTAACTTCATGGTCAATTTGTTCTCCAGAGCCCCAACTCGGGCTTTCTTGCGGCGAACAGCTGGGCGAGGATCTTCATCTTCGCTTTCATCTGCGGAGCGCTTCGATCCAAGGACAGAGTGAGAATCCTCATGAGCAGCCTCATCAGCGGAGCGCTTCGATCCAAGGGTAGGGCGAGAACCCTCATGAGCAGCCTCCTCAGCGGAGCGCTTTGTGCTGACGAGAGAAGGAGACAAGGCCCGCGAGGAAGACCGACTGCGTAACTTCATGGTCAATCTGTTCTCTGGTGCCCCAACTCGGACGATCTTGCGGCGAACAGCCGGGCGAGCGTCTTCATCCTCACTTTCATCAGCGGAGCGCATAGCTCCAGCGTTGGGAGGTGGCGACCTGTTTGAAGCCCGGTTATCTGATTTCAAATCTTTCGGGATACGCGGCAGTCCAGTATGAGGGCCATCCACATGCCGCACTGAGGAGTAGTGGTTGAAGTCCTGTACAGCGAGAAGATTAATCGAATATTCGCAAAGTAGATCGACGATCGACGATCGACGACCAATACAAGCAGTTGACTTACGTGAAAAGCGACATGGAGAATTGTCCTCTCCTCACTGCCCGGAGCATAAACGTCTCGAAAGGTCTGAATGCCTTTCGTGCTGTAGACGCGAACGTCGACTTTGAATGACTGGCAAAATGCTTGAATGTCTTCGGAGCCACCCCATGTGCCATTCTTTCGACAACCCTCCAATTTCGACTCGAAGCTGCGTTCGATGTCCTCGGACGAGGGAGGTGCCGGGCTTGCCGACGAAGACGAGGAAGAAGAATATCTGGACGAAGAATATCTGGATGAAGACGAATATCTGGATGCAGCTGCTCGTCTAGGAGCTCTCCGCTCGCCACCGGCGGCAACTATGAAGTTTATAAAGTAATCTCTGTGAGCAGCAATATGATCTGCAAGCTGAAGACGAATCTGGTCGGCATGGTCCGGGCTCCCGTACATTTGATCGGACAGGGCGTAGTACAGACAGTTGCCTGGGAACGGAAACAGTTAGTATGGAACGATAGCACATGCGAGCATACCTCAGAATGAACACAAGTAAGAAAATCAAAGGTCTGGTGACTCAATGTAGGGAGAAATTACCATCACCCTTGGTAGGGAACGCATAGAGTCCTAGCTCATTGAGACATGGAATTTCGAGGCTTTGTGTTACTGCTTCTTTGCTTCGAATCTTTGCTGCCGACCGCCTCGGTGCTAATTCCTCGCAATCGGAGTCGGCTGATATCGATTCCTCTGTGGACTTTTCTCCTGGATCCTGTTCCTTTGGGGCTGGGTTGTTTGGTTCCGCTGGTTTTGGAGACGAATTGTTGGAGGGAAACTTGGATTGTTTACGCTGCAAGTTGCTTGTAGTGTGCCTGACCAAGGACTGTCCCTGAGAAGGACTTGGCAGATGGTGTAGAGGAGACATTGGTGCAATTACTTGCGCCATAGTTGCTTTGATGCTGTAGATCGACGTACGGGAGCGGTAGGGAGAGAAAGGTAATGGTGGCAGGAGAAGAATTGAGAAGAAGGGGAGGAGGAGAGAAAGGAGGGAGGAGAGAAGGAGAGGGGAGGATGAAATGTCTATATCATCTAGAATACGGACGCAAGTTAATAGACGACAACAACCCATTTGTGGGTTAAGAAAACAAAGGAAAATAGTGAAGCAATAGTTACAGGGCGAAGATAGCCCTGGTATACAACACACGCGCGGCGAGACTTTTTGGCCGGACTTGCGGAGGAAAACGTAACAAAAGTGGCAGAAGTGGAACAGAATCCCTGGCCGAGGTCGAGGCGGTGAGACTCTCAACGCCTGATGATTGGTGACTGACACGTAAAATCTCCTCAATGACGAAATGTGTTGTATTCGTGAATACAATGAAATGTCAATACTTTGATTGTTTAATGCATTGATCCCAGCTAAGTGCTTCTTTAACCTATGGACGTAAGACCAGGCAGCTATCAGCTCTATCAATTGATTCATTTCCTCAAAAGTTGTATAATGATCGCAATCAATGAAGAATGGAGGCTGAAATGATTGGTATGGACGTTGAAACAACACAAACGATCAAAAAACTTTTAAATTATAAAAGCGCTGATTGGACGAGTACACGTACAAGCACAAGCGCCCGGACCTACGCGGCCAAGATAGGTAAGGCACAATACCCGCTCATACACCGCCGAAACCAGCGAATGCTTCGGTTACTGTCAACAATACATAGATAAATTACGCCGCGAGGTGGCAATCTCTTATCTAATCAGGCCTCTCTCGCATTGTCTGATACGAAGATAGTGCCGAGACCCCGCTTGAGAGGAGTATATCTTTTGACTCATTGACCCATTCTTCCTGAAATCCTTAGATTCTATTGTTATATTCTTCCACTGCTGCTTTAAGGTTGCTTAAATCACTCAGTCACTCGTGTGAGAAGATACAATGGCTACAAATACCATTGTAATTCTGGGGTAAGCCGGTTCGGCGGCCTTCCATGATTCCAGTTAACCCGGTATTAGTGGAGATCTTATGCTGACAACAAGTGAATAGAGCTGGAGTATCGGGGCTTACTACTGCATATCTCCTTTCTCGAAATGCGTCCAACAGCATTACCGTAGTTGCCAAACATATGCCTGGAGATTACGATATCGAATACTGTTCTCCATGGGCTGGAGCCAACTATCTTCCGTAGGTGTCTTTTTCCGTCTCAAATTTGAAACACTCCGCTGATTGATCGCTTGAAAGTGTGGGGAAATCCGGGAGTCCTCATGAGAGGTGGGAACGAGAGACATGGTCAGCTTTGAAGGAGCTGACAGAGAAACACCCAGAGGCCGGGATCCATTTTCGAGGTAGACCTCCAGCGCTTAACGACGTAATACAATCCGGACTGACCATTCTAGATACGATTGTATACAACCGAGTCAAAGACCAAGAATCACCAACTGGCCAATGGTTCTCCGAGCTGGTGCAACCTAATCCGTGGTACAAAGATGTTGTTCCGGACGTGAGTTTTGATCGTTCTGGAAAACCCTTAGACTGCTGACGAGCCCGGCTGACGACGTTCCTATCAGTTCAAAAGCATTCCAGCTGACCAGCTAGCTCCTGGCATCGATAACGCGCAGAAGTTCACTTCTGTCTGTATTAATACCGCCGTCTACCTCCCGTGGCTTGTCGGACAATGCCGAAAGAACGGGGTGATATTTAAAAGAGCCGTCTTCAAGCACATTACGGAGGCTGCAAGCGCCCACCACTCCGGCAAGAAGGCCGACGTGGTGGTGAACTGCACCGGTCTCTCGTCTAAGAAGCTGGGCGGAGTATGCGACGAGAAGCTGTATCCGGCTCGCGGCCAGATCGTCGTCGTCCGCAACGATCCTGGAGCCATGGTTTCCATCTCCGGGTCCGATGATGGTGAAGACGAGCTGGTCTACATGATGACTCGAGCCGCTGGTGGTGGAACGGTCATCGGCGGCTCATATCAGAAGAACCAGTGGGATCCATTGCCCGACCCTAACCTAGCAGTTCGGATTATGAAGCGTGCAGTTGCTCTGTGTCCGCAGCTCGTTAAAGAGGGTCAGGGCATTGAAGGACTGGACATTATCCGGCACGGGGTCGGACTGCGGCCTCTCAGAGAAGGCGGCACTCGTATTGAAGCGGAGAAGATCGACGGTGTAGCAGTCGTGCATAACTATGGCCATGGGGGATTTGGATACCAAGCTTCATACGGTTGCGCCGCGGAGGCGGTCAAATTGGTTGATGATGTCTTGCAGCGCAAGAGTAAAGCGAAGTTGTGATACAGAGACAACTTCGGCTGCAACAATGTATATAAGTACACATAAACTACAAAGAATAATTACTGAAGTGTTTACCTCTCGTATTTTGCAGCAGAAGAGAAAAGTATATCTCATCCAATGTGCTGCGACAGATCAAAAAGCGGATCGTCCAGTCACCATCATGTAGACGTCATAACTGTCGGCACTATCGGAGGAATCATCCCCGGATTTTCCATTGTCAAATTAAAACGCTTGTCGAGTACAACTTTCAATTTCGCTGGCTTTTGAACAGCTTGTTGGCCTAGTGAGAATATAATGTCCATTTAAAGAGAAAATCGCAGCAGCACAATGAAGTACAAATCTCCCGCCGTAGAAGACTACGAAACCGACGGCACCCCAGTCCCAGTCGCCGAGAAGCGCAAGCGAGACCACAAAGTACAAGAGACATCGGATCGCGACGACTCAGAGCAGCCCCCAAACAAAGTATCTAAGCCGACCAGTGAAAACTCTAGCTCTAAAGAGGGGAACAAAGCGGACCCTAACAGTGACAGCGAAGAATGGAATAACGGCAACAAAGGCAAAGAAGACCCAGAGATGGACGAGGACGTGAAAAAAGGCAATCAAAATGAAGAAGGCGGCTTGGAGAGTCCTGAAGGACAATTTGAAGATGAGCAGCATGCTAAACCCTCGGAATCACCGAAAGTGCACAAGATTATCGAGGAGTTTGGCCGGCAGCCACTAGAGGGCACTTCCCTTGCGAAGGAGCCGCTCACTGCGTCCCCGGAGACGGTGCTTGCGATGGTGCTTGACGCGATGCTGAAGTCGCGGCCGATTTCTCATGATCTTTCGCAGCGTGCGGTAGATAAGCTCATTGACGAAGGATATCATGATATCCGAAGGCTGGGGGAAAGTAGTTGGGAGGAAAGGACGAAGGTGCTACAGGACGGGGGGTATAATCGGTATCGAGAGCAAGGTGCTACGAACCTGGGCGATTTGGCGGACTTCGTCAATGGGCAGTACGGTACGCATCCCTTTCCGTGAAATCAGACTGGTTCTGCAAGCACGCTGACCATGGTCTAGATGGTGACCTTAATAATCTTCTGAGAAAAGCTGGAAACGACCGCAAAAAGACCAGAGATTTGATCAAGGCAATCAAAGGACTGGGTGACCTTGGTGTGGATCTCTTCTTAAATAACGTCCAAAGCGTTTGGCCTTCCATGGCCCCCTTCTTGGATGCGCGCAGTCTCAAGACGGCGGAGGAGCTTGGCATTGGTACAGATCTCGAGGCAATCTATGAAAGTCTGAATCGAGACCCAATGAGGATGAGCAGACTGGCAAATGGATTGTCCCATGTGCGGTTGGATAAGAAGCAACGAGAGGTTAAGGAAGTTTGATTCCGCATATGACGAGCTTAGGCCACATTGGGCGCACTTAAGCAATTGACACCTTGGGTGTCCAACATGTGTTTCAGCCTTCCAGCCTATTCGGAACTGCAACGTCAGGATGAATGAAATGAGGTCAATTTCCAGTTCAACGATTCAAGAAAAAGCCACAGCGCTGGAGAGACATCGTTCATCCATTGGTTTGCAAGCGGAGTTCTTCTACCTTTGACCTTGATAACTTGATCGTTTCATGTTGCGGACGTGGTTTGATTCTCCAGGAAAGGGCAATGCCTCTTGTACAGAAGAAGATGCCACGACGGGTGTTGAGGAAGCACGACACAAGGTGAGGAGCGGGCGGTTGCCATGAAATGATATTGGAAACCCGTGTTCGCAGCAGTAATGGACCATTATCTTCCCTCACTACCAATACCAGATAGCGGCTTCTCTTGTGCTCAATCTGAATCACTATAAGCTTGGATCTGCAACATGAAGATCTACTATCTGATAGCCCTTACGTGTAATGTAAAGCCTTTGGAGGTCTGGCTAGTTGATGTCAAACCTCTGCAGTCTTTGTATTGCAGTCCATGCTCTGTCACGTGAAATTTCTTGGCCGCAGTCAGTGGCTGGTGGCTACGGATGAGTCAGCCACCGTCAAGGGCTTGGCGGATCGGCTGGTTGCGACTCCAACTGGAACCAGGAAGCTCCAAAGCCCCATCCGTTGCTCATCTCCTTGGTTTCCCAGCCTCTCCTCCGTTCGATCTTCTCCGTAACCTTTTGACGAGTCTTACTCGACCATTGCGTTATTGAGAACTCTGAGATACATTACGCGATCAACGATTTTTTTTCACCTTAGGCAACTGCTTTTCGACGGCGCAGGCTACGACATTCGAACAGTTCCACCGCTCAGCGACACTGGTGATTTCACAAGCAAGCAGACGAAGCTTTCAACGCTGCCATTCCCTTGACCGCACATCGCTACAGCCTCGTGCTCCGACCTCGCCATTCCGATTTGATTTATTATATCTCCTCGAAACCCCAAGTACTCGTGCTCGACAACCGACGCATATAATTCGTGCAAACATCGTTCAAGATGGACTTCTCTAACATCTTGTATGTCGCTGTACTCTGCTTAGCTTGAAGCATTGGCGTTATGATGAGCCGATTTTTGAAACTGTGACTGACAGCCTCCAGCCGGATCGTCAACATCGCCATTGGCGTGATTATGATCCTTGGTGGTATTGCTCAATTCTTCCCTGCATCGCTAGGTTCCGTAATTGTTGGTGCCTACGTGATCATCTTCGGTCTCGGTAAGTCTCAAGACCATCTGATTTGATTACCAGAGGAGAGTTATTGGTTGCTGACACGGTGGTCTCTTAGTCGTCGGCGGCCTGGAATTGATGCCCAATGTTCCGGATTATGTCTATCGCTATGCGTCTTTCCTCTTCTCGTTCCTGGGACGAGGTGTCTGTAAGTTCCTGAGCTTTCTTTGGCTTGGCGTTTCTTTTTGGTAGCATTCTGACAAGTATTCTCAGTCTATGTCTTCGTTGGATCGATCCTGCTGCACGGTCACGTGCTGCGATACATTGCGGGTTCTATCGTTGGGTTCGTCGGTCTGGGATATGTTGTCCTGGACTTCATTCCTTCCATCGAACCTCCCTCCAACATGCGTGAGGCCGACCAGGGCTGGGGTGCGGAACAGGTCTAAGCCTTGTGGAACCTGGAACACCTGATCTCCCGGACACTGCGCGATTGCTGTTATCCCGGGTCCTCTGGAAACCGTAATTTGAGCGCAAGATTGAAAACTTGCGGCATTCCAAGAACGATGTCCCTATAATGCGCTTGACGATGACCGACGAGTGTGATGATATATATTCGCCTTGCGATTTTAGTGACGTGGACGAACCAGTATATTATCTCACATTGAGTGGAAACGCTGGTCTGAAATAGTCTCGATGTTGTCACCTTTGGAGCTCTTGGTTTTCGTTGAATTGTCCTTTGCGGACAGATACCTTTTCTTGTGAACCTGTATTACATATGTAGATAATATATGGTTGAATATCAGTTGTCATGTGGAAAAGCTACGCTAGCGCACGTCGTGGTTAACAAGAGACAATACTCGAAGCAAGGGTACCTGTCGAACACCAACGCAGATCTCTCAGCAACACAAAACCATGCGGAAGCATGCGGGACAGTCTTAGTCTACTCGCCTGCCTCATTTCCTAGGCGTTGGCGAGTATGATAATGAACTTCCATGTTTAAGCTGTGTCTCTCTATAGTCCTAGCATATCAGCCTCGAAGTGTTTTGTGCGCCCATGGTGTGTGTATAGTATCTTTAATCTCAACAGAACCTCTTGCAGCCTAGCTTGGCTCGCAGACCTTCTGCATGTTGTAAAACTCATTAAAAAAGCAGATGGAGAAACGTTTTGTGATTACTATTTTACATGTGATGAATAATAGTATTCCACTGTCGATGCTGACAACAGACCCTGAATGCTTAGACTACGAATGCCGAGACGGTAGATTAGGTTAGGTAAGAATAATCCCAGAGGGTGGAGCTGATGCGATAGATTAGAAACTCACCGAAGAGATAGAAAGACATCTACAGCCAATCAAAATCATTAGAAAAACGCTGACATGAGGGATGGAATGACATTCACCAATAGCAGCAGGAACAAACAGGCTTATTCTATCACATATACGCTACTTATTAAAAGGGGAAGGCGCATTCCTGGAAGATCCATAATACTAGACCAGAACAGGCATCGGTGGGGTCCAGATGATTCGATCCGGGGGAGAAAAAACAGGCGCAATGAGGAAAGAAACGAACGGCAAAAATGAGTGAGAAAAAGAAAACATCAGGAACCATCAATCAAGTGAGCACAGAGAGTCGAAAGAGGGAACCGAACATCTGGACCAAACAGTATCTTTCTTGAGGAATCCCAACCACTTGGATATCTGAACAACTTGCAGCACAACAGTATCTGCTGTCCCGAGGTGTACGTAGAGTAGATCCCCCTGGGAGATCGATAACCGATAAGAACCTCAGGCAGCAGCTGCTGCAGCAGCAATAGCAACAGCACCAGGCAAACTGTCGTCTTTCACAATCATCTAAGAGTCATTATTATTATTACCCGTCATCATCATCGTCTCATCCATCTTGTCATCATCCTCCATCAAATCCGTCAACTCCAAAGCTTCTCCTTATTAGCATTTTATCGTCATCGTGACCGCCTGGGCAATACCCACTTTTTTCCCTTCCGTCCCTTTTCCTCTATCTATCGATCAATCAATCATTTGATCTGCGTTACAAAGTACGTACTTCCCCGTCTAATCAATCAAATCAGTCTATCGATCTCATCAATCTTTCTGCATCTCACGATTCTCCTAGCTTTTCCCACTCCTCATTTTCGCTAGTCTCCTCTTCGTCTTCCCCTTTATCTCTTTTAGTTCCAGTCTCTGCATACCCGAAGCTCCCAACACCCTACCTGTCACTCTTTCCCAGTGACATTCCATTGCTCGGAGTGGATCGCCTCGTCGCCGATCCTATCTTCTTGCCCTTCTCCCTCTTCTCCCAACCACTTGGCTGCTGCACCTGAGAATTTTCTGTTTATTTATTTTCGTTGTTTCTAATAGTTTGTTCGCGTCAAGCTCTCTTTCCAATATTTCGGACCACTTTTCTTCCCTTTATCTGAACGGGCATCTGACAGGATCGGACCACTTGGCATACCCGACTGGATCGCCACCTCGACCTGTCATTCGGATTGGCCAACAAGCGGACCCTTCGTGGCGGATCAGTTATTGATAATCAGAGTATTGACTCTGGCCGACCTTTCTTTTTTAATCGCTCAACTTTTTGAGACACTTGCGCGCCTTCCAACAGTTGTCAAGGATCAGCCACTAGTCGACTCCCCTGCACCGCTCTGTTGGGTTTGAGTTGCACTAGCTGCAGCCTCTTTCCACTACGACTTTTCTTTTTTTAGGGGGCATCTTGTACCTCTTCTGTACTATTATCCTGACCCTGACCGACGCTTGACTTCTGTGATACCATACATTACGCCTTGGGACGGTGGTGCGACGTGCCATCCACGACACGGCTAGCCCGTTTGCCTCGACTGCTACCGAGGAACGCCGCCTTGCGGGCTGATTCTCGTCCAGAGACAGGAATATAGCGAGGTGAGGTTTGATAGTGGCGATGCTTGCTTCAGTTCCTCAGATGGACTCAGTACGATCGCTTCCTCGGAACCCTGATGTCGTTACGCGGCACCCTTCAGCGGAGGACCTGGACGCTGCCCAGCAGCTGATATCTTCGGCCCAAGCTGGCCGGGAACACACCGCGGATCGTCATCGGGATGAGAAGGGAACAGCGCCTGCTCGGTATCAAATGGAAACGACAATGAACGGATCGGCACAATGTTGGTCTGAACTACAAAGGAGCGCTCCTCCAGCTGAGAAGACCTCGACATCTCCGAAGGCGCAGAAAGACACATCGTTCTTGGGACATTCCTGCAGGTCAGTATATCTTTAGACTCCTCAGTCATCCTCTTTCGAGTTCATTGTGTTGACTCTTATTTCTAGTAACTGTGGGACGAAAAGCACTCCTCTATGGCGACGATCACCGACGGGGGCGATGATTTGCAATGCATGCGGCCTCTACTTGAAAGCGCGGAACGTGGCTAGGCCGACCAAGCGCAATCGAATGGAACCGGGCTCTGAAGCGGGCGGGCAACAAACTGGTCATGGAAATGCTCAGAGCGAATCCGCTTCACAGGGCCACTGTCAATCTAACTCAGGAGGTGGTTCTTGTCCTGGCGGAGGGAATTGCAATGGGACTGGCGGAGCCGAGGGATGCGATGGTTGCCCTGCCTACAACAACCGTGTTTACAAGTCCGCTGCTCGAGGCACGGTTCCCGTCCATTCGTGGAGAGCTACAAATCCAGAGTCCGACCGACCTCTTCCAGGAGCCGAAAACGATGCGGGAAAGAATGGCGCATCAGCTGAAGGAGGAAACATGCTGGTCTCCTGTCAAAACTGCGGGACCACTGTGACTCCACTTTGGCGACGGGACGAAAATGGACATCCCATTTGCAATGCTTGTGGTACGTTGACTCTCGGCAAAACTTGTGATAAATCAATATACTAACATCCGTTTGTCTATTAGGACTCTACTATAAATTGCATGGTTGCTACCGACCCACCACGATGAAGAAGTCCATCATCAAACGACGAAAACGTGTTGTGCCTGCCATGAGAGACCAATCTCCCAGTGGAGCTACCTATTCGTCCAACGGTTCGTCTGCGTCGCCAGAGGCATCTCCTGCGGTATTGGCTCACGGTCATGATGACCACTACCGATACTTAAGTTCGGATCCAACATTGCAGGGTAACCATCGACATTATGCCATTGCCCCGCCGCCCGTAGATTTCACGCACTTCAGTGCTACCGGGAGTCTCTCGTTGCCGCATCACCCTCCCCCTCCGAGACTCCTGGAGCCTGAACGGCTGAGCGCACCTAGTCATTCTCCCGTTCCACAGTTCGGTCGACGTTCTATCTCCCCCAGCGCTTCCGGCAATGCCAAGAAGCGAACCCTTGCGGAGACCGCATCATCCTCCGATACTTCCTCCATCCCGACGACGTTGGAATCGGGTTCCAACCAACTTCCTCCCATCATGTCAACTGCCAACCCCTCTCCTCCCGGCCGTCTCAGTTCGATTTCCACTCTTCTTAACCACTCAGGCCCGCACGACGAACCTCGTCTAGACCCGTCGCTTGCTGCTCTTAGCCGTCAGCAGCAACACCACAAAGCGACACCCTTGGCACCTCATCCGCCGTCGCAGCCGTTGCCTGGCGTGTCTGAACTTGAAAGCCTCAAAGAAGACCGCCGAGCGAAACTGCAGCGTGAGGCGGAGGAGATGCGTGAAATGCTTCGAGCTAAAGAGCGAGAGTTGGCGGAACTGGGAGCGTGATGCGCAGTCCCTTCACTATTGTCTCACATGACTTCCCTTGTTCTCTTTTCTTTTTTCTCTTTCTTACACCCGGCGCAAAGATTTACCTTGTTGGCAAGATACCATTTCAGTATGTTTGAACCAGATACACAGGAGTTGTGCAATTCCGGAAAAGCCCATAGCTTTCTTTATCGTCACCTTCTTTCCTGCGACCTGTCGGAGCAACCTCAGCGGAGGCGTTTGTCGTTCCATTTGTTCACCCTTCTTCCATTCACCAATTTCATGATCTCAGCTACTCTAGCGTTGTACTACAGACGAGAGCTCACTGCTTTGTCTTATCTAGATAGATCTCGGTAATCTCCTTAATTCTTATCATGACTTCACAATCTTTCTTGAGATCCAGACTAACGGGCTGGGCCCCTGATGCTAAAACCTGGTTGTATCCCACTCGTCTGTGGGCATGAAACCCTGCAAGATATTGCCAATGATGAATGTGCACCTCGTATCAATCAATCCCTCAGGTCCACTATGACCTGATGTTCCCTCCCTAAATCCCTACGCACGTTGGTCCCCATATCCTCGCTCAACCGGGTAATCTTCCTCTTCACCCAGAGATGATCATCATCATCAGGATCCAACAAAGTTACCTGAAAACGATCGCAACGGGTCGGAAAGATCTCCAGCCGATCCAACACTAACCTACAACTCTCCGGGCCAGCACTCTCCTCATCCTGCTCCTCCCTCACACATACCCTCCACACAGCTCCAAGGTCATTCCGATACTCCTCGTTCAACGCATAATCATCCACAAAGTCTCCACACCCATAGATGATGAGTTTCCGCCGGTACCGCTCGACACCCTGCACATGGTGCGAGGAATGGCCATGCACAATGTCCACGCCGCACTCGTCGATCAGGAAATGCGCTAGCGAGCGGATCTTCTCCTCCGGCTGCCACGTATAATTTGGTCCCCAGTGGACGGAGAAGATCTTGAGCGCGGGTTTGTCGGCCGTGTCCGGGGACGTTGGAGGTGAAGTTAGCAGCGTGCGCAGGTGCTCTCTTGTTCGCGCCGAGTAGTCGATTAGGTGGAAGTTTGACACGACGGCCCAGTCGCGCGGGTGGTCCGAGGCCGACCAGACGTGCACGCTGTAAGATTTGCCCGATTGATCATGGTTGTCCTGTGCGTGTGCGTGTCCGTGATGCGCGGCCGCTGCGCAGCGCGGAAGACGCAGGATCGCCGGCCGCCGGCTCTCGTCTGTGGTCTCGCCGGCTCCCGCGAACGCGATCTTGGACTCCTTCATTGTCCAGACTGTCTCAATTAGGCCGTCTGTGCCGAAGTCGAGGGTGTGGTTGTTTGCAAGGCTGGCGTAGTCGATGCGGGCTTCGCGCAGGGCTGCGGCGTTCGCGGGGTGCATGCGGTAGTTGAAGGCCTTGTTGGGCCAGGGGTCGTTGGTGGTTGTTGCTGAGGTTTCGAGGTTGATAAGGTTGAGGTCGGAGTTGTGGAAGAGTGGTAGCGCGGAGCCCCAGGGGTCGCGGTGGGTGTAGTTGCTTAGGTAGGGGTAGCGCTCGATGAAGTAGGAGACGATGCGGCGTTCGTGGGCGTTGTCGACGTGCTGGGGCCAGAGTTGGTCGACGAGGCGACCGAGCATGACGTCGCCGACGAAGTTGAGGGTGAAGGTGCGGAGGGCGGTCGGCATGTCGATGGACTCTTTCTGCTGCTACTGGTGTCTTGAGTGAGAATTGGATCCTGAGTACATGTTGAGGGTGCTGGTCTCTATTGTCCCCGTAGATGGTGATCGGGTCATCATGACATCGACCTGGCGGGCCGATCCGAAGCCACTCAGATCTATAGGTTGAATCGTCGACATTTGAGGCAGTTCATGACATGATGAGAGTAATACAGTGTGCGTGACCGCATTGCGCTCGGATATGTATCTTGATCCAGTATAACGGTGATTGATTCACTGAGAGCGAGCATTGCAGTGTCGTCTCGAATTGACTGATAGTTTCCATGTTCGAAACACAGTGAGAGGTATGTTGGCTATTTAGTTGCTGATCGTGACTGATAAGTGCATTGTGGCTGGGTTAAGCTTCGGCTGATTAGTCTTGCTTTTGCTGTAGTTGAATTCATGCAAGGATCATCCTTGCTAGTTGGATGTCGAAATAGTAGTCAAAGAGGGTGCAGCTGCTATATATACCATGATCTGAGTCACATGTCAATATACTTTCGTAGTACAGATAGCTCCGCCAAATGCTAACAATCAGTAAAGAGCAAAGTTCGTAACAGCTTTTGTCGGAGATCTGGAAACGCGAGAGACTCTGGGCTCCATACCTTTCATTATTATCATCATTATAGGAAAGTCAATGTCTGGTAGAGAAAGACGAGAAAGAATAGGGATATATGTACATCGAAGACATCAGACTTGAGTATAACGAAGAAGATCGATAAGCATCTGGAAGAATTAAAAATGAACAAACATCACGGCATAAAGTTATTATTGCATCACTAGCCGCCGCTGACTCGTCGACTCATCGTGCTGCGAGGACTCCTGTACCGTCATCTCTGTGGTGACCTCGATGCCTCCCGTAGATCCTCGTTTCACATCAGTCGCTTCGATATCGATGGTGTACAGGCCATAGTCCCGGTCCCGCGAGTAGAGCTGAGTCCTCCGTGACCGGTTGGCTGTACCCATCGTCGGTTGTCCCGTGTATTTGTTGTAGCTCTTAGTGGACAGTAGTCTGGGGAAGATGCGGCTGATAAGGGGTCGAAGGAAGGGGAGGCAAGCACATATGATGGCGACATTGCATTCAGCCGCGGTCCAGTAGGCGGCACCTACGTTGCTGTCTGTTGTACGGTTAGAGATAACTTTGCAACAGACATGGCAAGGAGGCTTACATGACGTGTCTGGGCTTTGAGCGACTGTTCGTAGACTCGACAGACGAAGGATGCTGGTGATAACAACCCTATCGAATGTAAGCAACCGACAGACCGTTCCGTACAGGGCAAACTCACAGTAAACCGACGGCAAAGACAGCCATGAGGGCAATTTTCTGCATACGGGGAAGTTGGAGTTGAGAAATGAGTGGCATCGGCATGATAAGCAGCGTCAGATCGGTAGCGATGTTCATGGACGCGTTAAAGAACCAGACAGCTTCGAAACTGAGACAGGAGCCGGGAATATCTCGGTCCCAGAACCTCGCTATAGGAACACAGTTCACGAATGCGCTGACAATAGCCCATGTCGAGTACAATGCGACGATACCCATCACGGTGTGGCAAGCAAATCGAAACCGGCGGCTGGGAAAGATGCGCAAGTATTGAAACAGAATGGAGAATTTGCTAAAAGCCATACTCGCATTGTAGAACGGAATCGCTATCCAGAGTCGCTATATCAGGTATTGTCAACTACCATAGTGACGTACGTATTAGGCTGGCAGCACCCACCTTGAGCTGCTGTTTCAGTGTAGCAGTAGGAAGTTTATCGGAATGTATTCCAAGACCGAAATGGACCTCTGTGTGTGAAAGTCAGATCAGTGTGTTTCTTTCCCAGTGAGAGACACTGCGAAATTCCTTACGGGCAACGACCAATGCGAAGTAGACGATTGAAAAGACCTTTTAACAATTCCAGTCAGTGGTGGATTGCAATCAGAAGGCCAGATCTTCACTAACCAGGGCCACGACGATCGTGTAGTCTTCGCGACCTCTCAGCTTCATCAAGCCGATCCGCGCGAACAGCCGCATCGCAACGATTAGAATCGCCAGTCCGGTCAATACGCCTGTTACCACCACTGCCTGTTGTCCCCGTGATGCTCCATCGTCCTCATCGCGAGATAGTATGAAATGTCCTAACGGCGCGTGCATCTTGGAAGTGTAAAGAGTGTGTCGCCAAATGAGCGTGTCGCCTGAATACTACGAAAAGAGTGTGATGCGCGATTCGAGAAGTTGTTGACAATATCCGGCCTTCTGCAAGCCAGACAAGATCAACCAGATTCCTTGCATAGGTTGTATAGCACTTTCGCTTGGGAAACCCCCGTTGAATGGTAAGGAACGGCCAGGTCAATTAGACCCTATTTGAGATGAAGGCGTCAAGGAGTATGAGTTTGTTTGCACTGATAAACGACGTCGATAATATGGCAGAGGCTATTATTTAATTGGGTTGTACGACCTCCTAAGTCCTAGGTACTGCTTTCCCCACCCACATCCCACATGAACCAGAGGCACGGTAGAGAGCTCAATAGTGTTGTCAGATCACTTCCAAATCCCCCAAGCGCACGAGCCGGGAAATGCTTGCCATATGTTCGCAATGCCCTGGAAAGCTTTAGTGCCGCTGATCTTCAACCCGGAGTTGGCGACGGTGGAGCGTCTAGTAATGGAACTGCAGCAACATGTGTCATCATTCGTGCCTAGCTCTGGGATTCGTAAGGAACATGAAATAACTTCAACAGATCATCGCTTGTAGACTACAGAAATTGACGGCCGTCTCGTTAACTTCACTGAGGAGTATACTACCACGGGATGATGAATGCCCTTTCTAGTAAACAGCTGTGCTATTTCGGTAAAATATGGGACGCTTCATAGTCTTCGGTCAAAGTGTCATCCATCAACTCTGCTAGGAAGAGAATTATGCGCATGCAGCACGACTGCATATTCGATTCAAGGCCTTGTTCTGTGTCGGCCGTCCCGACGGACTAGTGAATTTGCCGCTCTCCTTGGACATGAAGCGGGGATGATTCTCCGAGTGGAAAGAGACAGGCACTTCGAGAGCTAAGCCAGGTACTAGCCAAACTCCGAACGCCACTGGTCGGATCATCGGATGGCTTACTACCTTAGCACCTTCGTGCAGCGATTGATAAGACAATGGGGGGTCTGTAAGAGCATCAAATCTACACACATACTCTGTGTATTAGGTATGTCGAAATCCAGAACGTCCTCAGTGCTAGGACCCGTATGGAGGAAGATATCTGCTGAAGTTTAGAGATGGCGTTGCCACCTCATTATCCTCTTTAGGAATGTCTCCTCGAAGCGAGCCTGTCAATCATCGCTAGACTGTGGATCTTCGTGGGTTTAGAACGTTTTTGGCGCATGTCCTCCCAAGTGGACCAGCGTACATTTCTATTAGTGCCAGAGCCAAATGCGGGACTTCTCATTGAGACATCAGCACACGAGCAATCGTGGCTCATTAATAGGCAATCTCTGACTCGGCCAGGCTCAATAAGGACAATGAGATTCAGCTCATTCATCTATATGATAGACCTACAGGCGATATAGACTCATTCTGAACTAGATCTGGCCGTGGGGCTTGCGCTACTTAAGTAGAAATAGATCACCGTGACCTGCAGTGATCGACAGCCGGACTGTGATGGCGCTTTTCGGTGTCTTGGCACATGGGGAGAAAGGAAATCATCATCCCTGAAAGACAAGTCAGGGTCCTGGTCGGTCCAACTGTCGTTGCTTGATCGTGCTCCGGTGCGGATAGACCAGACCCAAGCGTCTCGTATGGATCCCAGGCATGGCCGAGGCAAATAATCTGTCGTCTACTTGGTACAACATGAGTCGATGACATTCTGGCTAGAGACAGTCTATCATGATCAGAACCAGGTCTTCTAAACACCTTGTAGGAAGCGTGATATGACTGTCCGTGGTGGCTGCGATCAAAGGACATTGTGCAGCTTTAGCTTTCGATGACGTCTACCAATACACACCCGCAAGTGATCATTACTGATATATCGTGTAGCAATAATAGGGGTATCGGTATCTCAAGACATTCGAGTTCCCGGACTGGGTCCAGAGACCGAGGAATCGACGATACCAGGCCCTGTGTAGACAATTTACGGTTTACAATGGCATTGTCTGAATCCGGGGACCTGGGATTAGGTTTCAAAGTGACCTTGCATTGAAGCAATTCCGTGTCCGACGTATTCGAGCCGGCAAGTTCCTGGGACGCAGAAATAGCGTTGAAGCACTATTGAACTCTATCGGGGTTCAGCAACAAATGGGGAAATCCAACGGTCGAAGATCAAAATGGATTGGTGATCTCTGTGATAATGTAGTCTAGAGTGGTGATTGCCAAAGGAATGCCTAGCCTTCTCCGTCCTCGATATGTACCTTGACCCCACAGGAGGGTGCGCGCGGGGGTTGAGCGCTAGATATCTACAAAGGAAGAGAATGCATGTCATATCATTAAGAAGCAATGATGCGGATAATCTCCACGGTAAATTTATAAATGGCTTTGGCAATGCCAACTGTCTTAAGCGAAGTTCAAGCTTGCCCTGAGCACTTTTGATGGTGCACAGTCCGTTGTCACTTCGTTCCTCATCACCAAAATGAGCTCAATCGAAGTTAGCTGATTACATTCAGTGTGTTCTATGTCCCTACCTGGATAAGACACGAATACAGCAAGAATTGATGAGATGATTCCCTACACAGCTTGTTCATCTTCAGGCCTTTTCCGAGCCATTCCTTTAGAAAGCTTGTCGCCAACAGGTTTCTGAGCTGAGAAGCAGCTCAGGAAACGAAGGAGATATTGTCTGGAGCTCAAATACTCCGTTGTGATGCAGAGCAAGATCAAACTCACACACTCCTTTCTGTGTGCTGGACATGTTTTCACCAGAGTCGGGGCAAATCCGATCGGTCAAACCTTCAGCCGACAGACACTGGCGGAACTTCTAAGGCAGACAATAGCCCCGCCAATCATTCGGCTTCCCCGCAGATGATGTGATGCCGGCTTTCGGCTTGTTATCTGGACGAAGAGTCATAATACGGGCCTCAATTCTCTGTCCTTCTCTTAAATTCCTACTCCTTCTTGATCTCTAGGCTTCTTACTGCAGGCTGAAATTCATTTATGAAGCAGATCAGCAAATCAATAAGCTTCCTCCGATCTTTTACTTATCTCTCCGCATTCACCCCTTCGGCTAGAACGAGCATTTTCACCCCTACATCTCAGGCGACACTTGTAAAACGCACAATGGCAACCGCAATGGCAAAGCGCCTTGAAGGCAAGACAATTGTGATTACTGGCGCATCGTCCGGAATCGGCAGGAGTACCGCTAAGGAGTTTGCCCGGACGTCGCCGAAGGCCCTGAAGCTGATCGTGACTGCACGACGACTCGCCTCTCTGAAGCAGCTGGCCGAGGAGATCAAGGAGGAGGTCGGTGATGGTGTCAAGGTACTGCCAGTGAAGCTGGACGTCAGCAACCCGGAAGAGGTCAAGAACTTCGTCCCGTCCCTTCCAGCGGAGTTTCAAGATATTGATGTTCTGGTCAACAATGCGTAAGTCTCGAAGTTGCTCGCTTTCGCACTGCTTTAGACGTGGGATACTAAAAAAAGGAAACAGTGGTCTGGTCAGAGGTGTAGCCAAAGCCCCCGAAATCGACCCTGAGGATATCAACGTCATGTTTTCCACCAACGTCACTGGATTGATCAACATGACCCAAGCCATTCTTCCCATCTTCAAGAAGCGCTCCGATGGTGGCCGTGGAGACATCATCAACATTGGCAGTATCGCCGGTCGCGAAGCCTACCCTGGTGGTAGTATCTACTGTTCTACTAAGGCTGCGGTCAAGTCGTTCACCGATGCCTTGAGAAAGGAGCTTATTGATACAAGAATCCGCATCATCGAGATTGATCCCGGTCAAGTCGAGACGGTAAGGTGTCTGGATCCAGGAGATAAGAACCGAGCTAACATCAAGCCTACCGCAGGAATTCTCAGTTGTGCGGTTCTACGGTGACAAGGCCAAGGCTGATGCAGTCTATGCGTACGACTCTCCGCTGCATATCTGAGCGCTGAGCTAACCTGTATTAGTGGATGCGAACCCCTTACACCGGATGACATTGCTGAAGTCATCGTCTTTGCTGCGGGTCGGCGAGAAAATGTCGTAATTGCCGACACTCTGATTTTCCCAAGTCACCAGGTGGGCTTCCTTCATACGCTCATGTATTTCTGGCTGCTACAGGACATAGCTGACGCGACCAATCTAGGCATCCCCTGGCCATATGTACCGCAAGAACTAGAGCAAAGCAGGATTAGACCGACATTTAGAGGGATATACCTACTGGCTTCCTAGGCCATCAATTCAGTCAAGATAGATAGCACATTATATATAGCACATTATATACAGCCATGTACATCACAGGTTCAATTCCATACCGCCAGAAAAGACTTAGCGGCATAGCACCAACTTCAATACTCGTCGAAATAAGGTAGTGGTACTCTTATTCGCCCTTTCCCCATGACAAGCGTTCTTGAATTTGGTCCCTACCTTAAACAGGAAAGCGTTCTCAGTCTCGGTCCATGGGCACAGGACAGCTCTGTACCATGGCACATCCACATCCCAGAAGCCCATAGAACAAACCCACATGCCTGGGAAACTTACTGAGCTATCATTTGGCGACACATGGTATAAGCTCCGCTGACAACCACGGATACCCCCTCAACCCGGACTCAAATCTTGAATAAGAATGAGCAGTGTGGGCGAATGTACATTTACCCTTTTGGGATATGTAGGTGTGTTGATCACCTCGTTTCAATTAGTAAGATAATAGGCCCTTTGCTTATGCCTGGACAGACTACTACTGCAAAGTAGTGGTCGTGCCGTTCGTGGATTTTAGGTATATCGGGCCGAGTTATATGCCAGTTCCCCCAGACTACCCCTAGTCCGTAGCGTGAGATTTACCGGTCAGCGAGAGTTGGAGGGATAATTGCTAGATCCTGCTGCTTCATGATGATATCATATTATTTCTTCTAAGTTCTAAAGGGCTATCGTCTTAAGTGCTGTATAGATGGCGCGTATTGCTTTGGTGCTTCCTATACGCCTTGGAGTACTTGTTGGGTGACGCAGTAAACTACTGCAAGTATCTCCCTG